TACTTTTTAAAATGGGAGCCGACGAAAATTTAAGCCAACAGAAATTTGAAAATGTGAGCCTACGTATGATTTTGGACATCAGAAACCAAATCATCATGTTCTACTTAAAACAAATTGGAACCGATGGATAACTTACTACATAAGAAATCATATTCTACCTGGATATAAAATTTCTTTTAAATCAGAGAACTTGGAAAGATTACATATTTTGGCGTTTATTTTGAAAGCGATGGACGTTTAAGTTAAGAACCAGGAATTAATTCAATTTATTACATTCAGTGCAATAAAAACTGATAATTTCACGTAAAAATAACTCGATAATTGCACCTTTGACGTCGTACAATAGTAGGTGTTGTCAAGACGTTGTCGATGACGTTGCATCAAAGCAAACTGTGAATGCCTTGCATTTTCTACTTTATTTCTGTTAAAAAGCTAATTGTTAATCTAATAAAAAGAATAACTAATCAAAGAATTTAAATATCGAAAAATATGCATACCATATGCAAAAAATCTAAGCGACATCTTGCGAAACCACTATTAACCTCAAGAAAAAAATTGGGTGAAAGACGAAAAAAATGCTAATTAGAACAAAATCAATAGGTCTTTCCACAGAAAAGTGGAAAGGCCTAATAACAACAACAACAACAACAATACTTTATTTTAAGAGGGTTACACAGTGAGCTATATAGCTAATCTTCCCTGAGGCCCTCGTCATATAAATCAAACAAAATGCAAACATATACATTGCATACATTAGTATAAAAAGACAAGAATGATAATAATGATCAATACAATTTGATAAAATGTTATGAAAAAATAAACGTGATGACATAATCAGTTTTCAATACTTTTTATACCGCTAGGTTGATTTCAATAAATGATCTGTTATTTTGTATTTGAAAGAATTAACATTTGATATATTTCTTAACGGTATTGGCAAATTATTCCACAAGAATGGTCCAGAATACATAAAAATTATTTTGAACAATTCTGTTTTTGGTTTAGGGAGTATGAGGTTTCCTTGAATAGCATTTCTCAAGGGGTATGAATTTCTGTCTGAAACATAATGAAACTTGTTAGTAAGATATGATGGTGCGCCATTTTTTAAGCACTTTCTGCAGTGCGTTTCGATACAGATATTTTATTCAAATACTCCTTTATTTTTCAGCGACATGATGAAACAAGCGTTTGCGAAAATAACATTTATGGTAATTTGAGTATTCAACATATATATCCTTTTCATGCGTAAATGTTGAAAACCAGAGACACCAATATAATCCCAAGAGCTCTGATGGTTGATACAGTGTGTGATATTGAAATAGCCATATCATATACACTTTATTATATATCTCAAGTAGATGTTTTTTCTTGTGACGTGACGTCATACAGATTAGGGGTTTGATAAAGCCTTTGCAACGGTGACTGATGTCGATGACGTGACGTCAAACAGATTAAGGGTGTGATAAAACCTTCGCAACCATGACTGATATCGATATCCTCACGGATGGCTGATACTACACAATTACCATTGATCGTATTACACATACAATTTACATGTATTTACTACTTAGTATATAATAACTTTGTTTATTCAGATTATGTAGAAATGATAAAGAACCGTAAAACAATTGCTTTCTGAGTTAAGCAAACAATATCATGAATACCATAAACATTGTTGGGAATTGAATAATACAATTCGATAAAATTTGGACCAATGTAGGGAACGGATACGAACCAAGTACATGGATATCAACAACACCTCGTGCAAGTCTTTATTACTTAACTGGGATGGTTATGTCGTAGTTTCATAACAGTACTAGTTTATATCTGAGACTTTACCACGGCAATTAGATGACATCTTCTGGAATATATGTCGACGGTGCCGATTATAAGACTGGGACATTTGATGTTGAACTTAGTATACAGAAGGGAGACGAAGTATATATTTCTGGAGGTGTTTTTTCAATCTATATTGACAGTGGAACATACATCATATTTTCTGGACATAGCATTGCGTAGCTAGACAAGATAAATTGGTTGTATGATGATTCTGCTTATATTCTATTGACCTTAATGAGTTATAAAATTTGGAACGCTTACGGAGACAGAAATAATATACGGAAGATCAAAAACCTGATTGAATAAATACAACAGTATAAGTATTCAAGACCCGATGAATTATATTGCTAAAGGATCGGATCGGATTCACATGGGTAGATAAACGGTGTCAGACCACCAATTCACACACTCGAGTTTAAAACATAGTCCTACTCGGACAAAAATGCTTGTATAAGTATTCGAAACCTCATCGATGAATATTATTGCTAAAGGATTGGATCGGATACACATGGGCAGATAAACGGTGTCAGACCAATAATTCACCCACTCCAATTTAGAAGATAGCCTTACTCTGAATAAAATAGTGTGTTTGATATTGTTGTTTACTAAAACTTGCAAACACATTTACATTACTGTAACTTTTTCTGATTGCAAAATATATTTTGATTGTTTTAAGCCCATATTTACTTGTGCAATACAATTTCAGTGTAGTTGTACTCAATAGTATTATAATGAAGATTTTTAGTAGCCCAACATGCCATTGTTAGTAGATGAGGACTTCCCGAACATCATGTGTCACTACAAGACTTTAAACATTGGTTGAAAATTGGCAGTAGAAAGTTGATACAAGTATAATCCATGATATATATGGTTTTCATGAAGTTAACCTTAATGTAGTATTTAAGAGAGCTGTGAAAATTTGAAAGTGGTCTAATACCTTTAACAAAATTTTATAGCCGAAATTGATACTTTTATTAGATCGCGTCAGATACACATTATTAGATTATTTAAGTGATTACATTCGAAATAAATACTTTTATAATATCGCGTCGATTACTTAAAAACCGCTGATAGTAGAAAATGTTATTATGCATTTCTATTGCCTAATATGCATCTACAAGATTCGTTTTATTAACTTTATTACCAATATATGATGTTCAATAACATATTACCATTAATGTTTACATAATATTCGGAATGGCTGAGGTATATAAACAGAATGGTCTTTGATGCATTAACTCAGTGCTGACCGATAACAAAAACAAGATTTTCAGACGCTCGAATTTGGCATGTTTTCCAGAGAGGGTTTTTCCTGAGAAATGAAGTTGTTTTCAATGTCTTTTTCAGTAATATTTGCCAAGTTATCTTTAGTGGCAACAGTCCATTCGGAGACAAGTTCTTCAAATTCTACGTGTTCAACATGTGTATTGGCATCTTCCCCGTCACCTGATCCCGAATCAAGGATTCGTTGCATGTCACGAAATATACAAGCACTTCTATTGTCCCGTTTCGCTAAAGATTACATTTTTCTAACCATTTTTTTTTAGAATTTTCACTGTCCATTTAGAAATATAAGGCTTGCTGTTCGGTGTGAGCCAAGGCTCCGTGTTGAAGGCCGTACTTTGACCTAAAATTGTTTACTTTTACGCATTGTGACTTGGATAGAGAGTTGTCTCATTGGCACTCATACAACATCTTCTTATTTCTATATATCCTCAATACTAATTATTCGCTCCTCTACTTCTTCCAAACTACTGTAATGTACATTTGACGCCATTATTTTTAGACATATCCGCGATACTAATAATTTGCTCCCCTTCTTCTTCCGAACTACTGTTATTTAAATTTGACGCCATTATTTTTGTTTAGCCTACCGACTACTCGGACGTAACTTTCGATTCAAAACTGAATTCCGGACCGGACATGAACATTTTTTTGTTCCGCGAGATGGAATAGGATCCCAGTTACGGCAACCAGTCCAGTACCCACGAATGTAGTTCTTAAAAAAAATTATAACTTTTATTTAAAATGGTGTTGTGATATTATTACACAAGTTCTGTAACTGAATGTTGATTTATTTGAAAGGGTAGGCTTTCTAGTTTGAATTTCTGTAAACATTTTGATTGATTAAAATGTAATCTGGCCTCAGTGCATAGAGTAAATTGCCTAAATTCTAGCCTTTATTCTTCCCCGGAAGTAGACTGACTGACCCTGTTGTCAATCAAAACAATATTTTGCAACGGAATGCCGGTCATGAGGCACTGAGATTGCACTTAGAAACTTCGAAACCAATGCCTAACATGAAACAGAGATCCCAAGGTGGCTATCAAAATTATTTATTGAACAGCACCCCATTTATTTACTATGATTTTCAATGCGTTTCAATGGAGCAAATAACTGGGTCCCCGTTCCTGTCAGAGGGCATATATTGAACACTTCAATCTGCTTCTGTAAGCTTATTTTTGGAGTTACATGGATGAAATTTTGCTAGAGACTTCAAAATTCAATAAGAAAAACAATGATGTAATTTTTTTTTTAAATTGAATTAAACATTTTAGATTAAAATGAAATTTAAATTTATGAAATTTAAAAAAAAGTTTTTTTCAATTTAAAGTTTGCAAAGGGGTCACAGTAAGGTCATTTTGTTGGTAATATGTATTCATACACTTGTAAGTTAAAATGGAGGGATTTTTCAAAAAATATCAGCAAAAAATACTAGAAAAGAACCACCTGGCAAGAAATAGCAAATGTCTAATTTGGGATCAGTGGACAACAAAAGATAGAAAATATGGGCTTATTTCTTTCCGGGATCCTATTTCTGGGACCTGGAAAAAGAAAAAAAGCCCATAGATTCAGTTTTATGGTTTTTAATAATTATTTGATATTAAATGAAACATTTGACGCCAGCCACTTGTGTCACAATAGTTTGTGTGTGAATGCGGCTCACATTACTTAAGAGCCGCATCACATAAACAACAACAGCATTTATTGTAAACACCGAAACTCTTGCCAGGGGCATGCCAATTTTCCAGATTGCCGCCTGGATTTATTTTTGGAAGATATTTAAGGGGTAGGGCTATAGCTTATATAGAGAATTTTTACTGAATGTGCAACAATTTTAAACTCATTTTTTAAAGATTTAGTGATCCTTAAAAGGACCGTTAGTTAATTTTGTCTTTATCTTTTTCAGCAGTAGATGAATGCAGCTATATCTTCTTTGACTTTGGAACTTTTGAAGTACAGCTTCTGGTAGGTATATTCTTCTTTGCTGGTATTACTCTCCCATATGAATGATCGTCCTTTATGCTTTTTACAAATGCAGCATCAAGTTTTGGATCAAGTTGTCCCTTTTGATATCTGTCTGTACGTTTACTTTGTTCCTTTTCTTTCACATGATCCTTAATTTTCTGTCCGGTTTGTTGTAAATTTTTCTTTTTTCTTTCTGGAGTATTTTGGTAAACTTTGTTCCGTTCACACTCCCTTTGCATCTGGTCCAAGTGTTTTAATGAACCTTGTGATATTTTAAAACCAATACATTCTGCTTTTTGTCTCCAGGAATTAGCTATACCATTATTCAAAGTGTTATTGCTGATGCCCTCCCATCAAAATTTCTAGAAAAGTTCACATTCTTTGGTAAGGAAACACTTAGTGCTCTGTTAACAGCTTCACATTTTTTAGTGTTGAAATTAAATTTAATTTTCATTAATGCTTCCTCGCTAAGTTTCATTTTTAAAAGTTCCTGCATTATTAACTTGTCATTGTTATCCATATTCAGGTTGGTTAACTTATTCGCACCCAAGTACATGGATCTCAGCCACCAACAGTTTGAGTGTCCACCACCACACACGTATGAACTAGTGGGACATTTAGAGCAGTCACCAGTATAACAACGCACAGTAGCATCAAGCACTCTAGGTAAGCATTTTTTAATGTTTTCCACATTTCCAAAGTTTTCTTTCCACATTTCATTGAACACTAAGCTACATCTGGCTTTCAAATCTTGACTTAAAACTTTCTGTCCTTGTTTTTATCTTTTCATGTGTCGAACCAGGAAACATATGCAAACTAAAATTTGCAGAATTACTTTGCCGAAACTGTGAGCGTCCTAGATGAATTGGGTCAGCTTGGCGTTCAACTTTCCACAACGGGTGTCAAACTTTTAGTGCATCATTTATACCTTCTGCTCTACGTCCATCTCCATCTGTAACTGCATACTTTATCAGCACATTTTGCCTATCAACCTGAAGTCCAATTTCTTTACCCATGAGATATTCACTTAAAGGCGTGGTTGGCTTAACATTGGCTGTACATGTACCAGCATGTCCATCTGGACAGGTAACATCAAGTCCTTTCCCTTTAAGCCAAGCACCTGTCCACCAAAGTTTATTGTGAAAAACTGATGCAACAATGAACTTATGGTCAGTGACTTGCTCACACGCCAAAGATATTGCCTGGGAAGCATTTTGTCCAGGTTTTTTTGTGCTCACTATATGCATACTGTTATAACGCGTGTCGATTGCTTCAGGAATATGTGACGGCTCTTTAACACCACGAATTCTGTTAACCTCTTTCACAGTTTCAAGTTTTTTTCTTCATATCATTGTCATTTAACTCTTTTATTTCATTAGCAACAACATTAGAATGCCTCTGCAGTGTTCTTTTATCGGGTGGTGGTATATTTAATCCTGCAGCCATCAGAAATCTTCCTCTTTTTATTCCCATAGGAGTCTCCTGTAAGGCAGATGCACACATGCGGTTTAACTCTCCAGGGTTAGGTCCAGGATTCAAAGTTTTAATTTCATCGTACAGATTAACACGTGGTGATGTAATCTTGCATCTTATACATCTATATATATGCACTTTACACAAGATCCATACTAAATTTCCTTTGTCAGTTCAAAGTGCGGATTATCACATTTAATGTCTTGTAAAGTGTGAAGATTAAAAACTACATTCATCAATAGAGTAATTTTCTTCATTTTAACAGCTCTATATGTATCATCTTTAACATGGTTTTCATCGTGAGACTCAAATATAGCTTCTTTTTTTCAGAATCTTCAAAGATTTTGGATGTGGACGTAATAACTTAGTAGATCCAGGATTTCCCTCGACATCTGGTAAACTGTAGGAGGTGCCGTCTTGACTGGTTTTAGCTACAAGTTAGAACTTCTCTACATCTAGCCTCTTCCATTGTATATTAGATGAACTTAGCTTACTGTTTGAAGACTGTGTTTCATATTTTATCCCCTTGTTATGGGGTATGTTACCCGGTTTGAAGCAGGATTTACGTCGATTTTTTTCACCTTTCATGTTAATTTACAGTACCATTGACTGATAATTTATGAAGAACTATATTTTCCTGCATTATTTATATCATTCGAAGATGCTGTCAGCTTCCATGACACAAGTTTGCCACTAATTGCTGACAGTGGCACTCTTAGGGGGATTTACAGGTGCTGGACAATATGGTCTAAGATATCACGTGTGTGTACAGTAGGGCTTACATTTTATTGGATTACCACTAATTTCATTACCATATAAACCACAGCTTTTCATATATGACAAGGAACTTATTGGCCTTCATAAATATACATTTCTTGTAAGATTTTAACTTTTAGCTCCTTTGCATATGTAGTTCTTATTGAAAAAAAGACTTTATTTTTTTTTTTTAATTAAAAAAATAATTTTAATATTTTTTTTTTCATCAAAATTTATTTTGTACTAGATTTGTATACACAAAATCATTTTATCTACTATGTGCAATTTACAGAATGTAAATATCTTTTGAAATAAAAAAGTTTTGCTGATTTTAAGCATATTTACTTCATGAATTTATGATTTCAGCCGACCAATTTTCTGGTATTTGAGATGTTATAGATAAGGATCAATAACTCTGTAACTGTTGGATCAAATTTATTGAAACTTTGCACAATAACTACTGAGATGTATATCTTTATTTAAAAAGTGCAGTTTTAAGTCTGGAACAAATAAAGTCTGACAGGAATAGGATCCCAGTTACGTCAACCAGTCCAGTACCCACGAATGTAGTTCTTAAAAAAAAATTATAACTTTTATTTCAAATGATGTAGTGTTATTATTACACAAGTTCTGTAACTGAATGTTGATTTATTTGAAAGGGTAGGCTTTCAAGTTTGAATTTCTGTAAAAATTTTGATTGATTTAAATGTAATCTGGCGTCAGTGCATAGAGTAAATTTCCTAAATTCTAGCCTTTATTCTTCCCCGGAAGTAGACTGACTGACCCTGTTGTCAATCAAAACAATATTTTGCAACGGAATGCCGGTCATGAGGCACTGAGATTGCACTTAGAAACTTCGAAACCAATGCCTAACATGAAACAGAGATCCCAAGGTGGCTATCAAAATTATTTATTGAACAGCACCCCATTTATTTACTATGATTTTCAATGCGTTTCAATGGAGCAAATAACTGGGTCCCCGTTCCTGTCAGAGGGCATATATTGAACACTTCAATCTGCTTCTGTAAGCTTATTTTTGGAGTTACATGGATGAAATTTTGCTAGAGACTTCAAAATTCAATAAGAAAAACAATGATGTAATTTTTTTTTTAAATTGAATTAAACTTTTTAGATTAAAATGAAATTTAAATTTATGAAATTTAAAAAAAAGTTTTTTTCAATTTAAAGTTTGCAAAGGGGTCACAGTAAGGTCATTGTTTTGGTAATATGTATTCATACACTTGTAAGTTAAAATGGAGGGATTTTTCAAAAAATATCAGCAAAAAATACTAGAAAAGAACCACCTGGCAAGAAATAGCAAATGTCTAATTTGGGATCAGGGGACAACAAAAGATAGAAAATATGGGCTTATTTCTTTCCGCGATCCTATTTCTGGGACCTGGAAAAAGAAAAAAGCCCATAGATTCAGTTTTATGGTTTTTAATAATTATTTGATATTAAATGAAACATTTGACGCCAGCCACTTGTGTCACAATAGTTTGTGTGTGAATGCGGCTCACATTACTTAAGAGCCGCATCACATAAACAACAACAGCATTTATTGTAAACACCGAAACTCTTGCCAGGGGCATGCCAATTTTCCAGATTGCCGCCTGGATTTATTTTTGGAAGATATTTAAGGGGTAGGGCTATAGCTTATATAGAGAATTTTTACTGAATGTGCAACAATTTTAAACTCATTTTTTAAAGATTTAGTGATCCTTAAAAGGACCGTTAGTTAATTTTGTCTTTATCTTTTTCAGCAGTAGATGAATGCAGCTATATCTTCTTTGACTTTGGAACTTTTGTAGTACAGCTTCTGGTAGGTATATTCTTCTTTGCTGGTATTACTCTCCCATATGAATGATCGTCCTTTATGCTTTTTACAAATGCAGCATCAAGTTTTGGATCAAGTTGTCCCTTTTGATATCTGTCTGTACGTTTACTTTGTTCCTTTTCTTCCACATGATCCTTAATTTTCTGTCCGGTTTGTTGTAAATTTTTCTTTTTTCTTTCTGGAGTATTTTGGTAAACTTTGTTCCGTTCACACTCCCTTTGCATCTGGTCCAAGTGTTTTAATGAACCTTGTGATATTTTAAAACCAATACATTCTGCTTTTTGTCTCCAGGAATTAGCTATACCATTATTCAAAGTGTTATTGCTGATGCCCTCCCTTCAAAATTTCTAGAAAAGTTCACATTCTTTGGTAAGGAAACACTTAGTGCTCTGTTAACAGCTTCACATTTTTTAGTGTTGAAATTAAATTTAATTTTCATTAATGCTTCCTCGCTAAGTTTCATTTTTAAAAGTTCCTACATTATTAACTTGTCATTGTTATCCATATTCAGGTTGGTTAACTTATTCGCACCCAAGTACATGGATCTCAGCCACCAACAGTTTGAGTGTTCACCACCACACACATATGAACTAGTGGGACATTTAGAGCAGTCACCAGTATAGCAACGCACAGTAGCATCAAGCACTCTAGGTAAGCATTTTTTAATGTTTTCCACATTTCCAAAGTTTTCTTTCCACATTTCATTGAACACTAAGCTACATCTGGCTTTCAAATCTTGACTTAAAACTTTCTGTCCTTGTTTTTTTCTTTTCATGTGTCGAACCAGGAAACATATTCAAACTAAAATTTGCAGAATTACTTTGCCGAAACTGTGAGCGTCCTAGATGAATTGGGTCAGCTTGGCGTTCAACTTTCCACAACGGGTGTCAAACTTTTAGTGCATCATTTATACCTTCTGCTCTACGTCCATCTCCATCTGTAACTGCATACTTTATCAGCACATTTTGCCTATCAACCTGAAGTCCAATTTCTTTACCCATGAGATATTCACTTAAAGGCGTGGTTGGCTTAACATTGGCTGTACATGTACCAGCATGTCCATCTGGACTGGTAACATCAAGTCCTTTCCCTATAAGCCAAGCACCTGTCCACCAAAGTTTATTGACTGTAAAAAACTGATGCAACAATGAACTTATGGTCAGTGACTTGCTCACACGCCAAAGATATTGCCTGGGAAGCATTTTGTCCAGGTTTTTTTTGTGCTCACTATATGCATACTGTTATAACGCGTGTCGATTGCTTCAGGAATATGTGACGGCTCTTTTACACCACGAATTCTGTTAACCTCTTTCACAGTTTCAAGTTTTTTCTTCATATCATTGTCATTTAACTCTTTCATTTCATTAGCAACAACATTAGAATGCCTCTGCAGTGTTCTTTTATCGGGTGGTGGTATATTTAATCCTGCAGCCATCAGAAATCTTCCTCTTTTTATTCCCATAGGAGTCTCCTGTAAGGCAGATGCACACATGCGGTTTAACTCTCCAGGGTTAGGTCCAGGATTCAAAGTTTTAATTTCATCGTACAGATTAACACGTGGTGATGTAATCTTGCATCTTATACATCTATATATATGCACTTTACACAAGATCCATACTAAATTTCCTTTGTCAGTTCAAAGTGCGGATTATCACATTTAATGTCTTGTAAAGTGTGAAGATTAAAAACTACATTCATCAATAGAGTAATTTTCTTCATTTTAACAGCTCTATATGTATCATCTTTAACATGGTTTTCATCGTGAGACTCAAATATAGCTTCTTTTTTTCAGAATCTTCAAAGATTTTGGATGTGGACGTAATAACTTAGTAGATCCAGGATTTCCCTCGACATCTGGTAAACTGTAGGAGGTGCCGTCTTGACTGGTTTTAGCTACAAGTTATAACTTCTCTACATCTAGCCTCTTCCATTGTATATTAGATGAACTTAGCTTACTGTTTGAAGACTGTGTTTCATATTTTATCCCCTTGTTATGGGGTATGTTACCCGGTTTGAAGCAGGATTTACGTCGATTTTTTTCACCTTTCATGTTAATTTACAGTACCATTGACTGATAATTTATGAAGAACTATATTTTCCTGCATTATTTATATCTTTCGAAGATGCTGTCAGCTTCCATGACACAAGTTTGCCACTAATTGCTGACAGTGGCACTCTTAGGGGGATTTACAGGTGCTGGACAATATGGTCTAAGATATCACGTGTGTGTACAGTAGGGCTTACATTTTATTGGATTACCACTAATTTCATTACTATATAAACCACAGCTTTTCATATATGACAAGGAACTTATTGGCCTTCATAAATATACATTTGTTGTAAGATTTTAACTTTTAGCTCCTTTGCATATGTAGTTCTTATTGAAAAAAAGACTTTATTTTTTTTTTTAATTAAAAAAATAATTTTAATATTTTTTTTTTCATCAAAATTTATTTTTTACTAGATTTGTATACACAAAATCATTTTATCTACTATGTGCAATTTACAGAATGTAAATATCTTTTGAAATAAAAAAGTTTTGCTGATTTTAAGCATATTTACTTCATGAATTTATGATTTCAGCCGACCAATTTTCTGGTATTTGAGATGTTATAGATAAGGATCAATAACTCTGTAACTGTTGGATCAAATTTATTGAAACTTTGCACAATAACTACTGAGATGTATATCTTTATTTAAAAAGTGCAGTTTTAAGTCTGGAACAAATAAAGTCTGACAGGAATAGGATCCCAGTTACGTCAACCAGTCCAGTACCCACGAATGTAGTTCTTAAAAAAAATTATAACTTTTATTTCAAATGATGTAGTGTTATTATTACACAAGTTCTGTAACTGAATGTTGATTTATTTGAAAGGGTAGGCTTTCAAGTTTGAATTTCTGTAAAAATTTTGATTGATTTAAATGTAATCTGGCGTCAGTGCATAGAGTAAATTTCCTAAATTCTAGCCTTTATTCTTCCCCGGAAGTAGACTGACTGACCCTGTTGTCAATCAATACAATATTTTGCAACGGAATGCCGGTCATGAGGCACTGAGATTGCACTTAGAAACTTCGAAACCAATGCCTAACATGAAACAGAGATCCCAAGGTGGCTATCAAAATTATTTATTGAACAGCACCCCATTTATCTACTATGATTTTTAATGTGTTTCAATGGGGCAAATAACTGGGTCCCCGTTCCAGATAGCGGAATATTTCCATTTTATAAAATAAATACGGCTTCCTTCTATAAAAATTGAGAGGAAATCTTTTTGTTTCCTGTTTTATTACTTATATCACAAATACGGTTTCCTTCCTTTGTAAATTACTTAAACGTGTAATGTAAGACTTTGGTAAAATGTGTACAAAAAATGAAATTTATATATTTACAAAATTTTATTGAATATTTCAACTTATAAAAGTTAGCAGCTGCAAAAGTTGATGATATGTTTGGTATAAAAATAAGGGATAGTTTAAAAAGTATCTTGAGCAAATACTAAAAATTGGAGAAGGATAAAAAGTCATTTTATAAAACAATTATTGACTTTTGATATCAGTTGATACAATGATTTATCAACCACAGAGATATACCATTTATACTCGGCCGTTGGCCTAGGTATATATCATATTTCTGGGTTTGATAAATCTTTGTAACCATCTCATCAAAAGACAATAATTGTTTAATATTGCATAGTGAAATGTAATACTTTTGATGTTCATGCGATTTGTCTACCAAGCAATATATAACACAAAATACCTACATGTAATCAAACAAAATTGAAAGCAAAGTAATAGCTCTGCAAGTGCTGTTAATCCTCTCTTAAAATTCATAAACAAAGGAAATGTTATCCTATCTATGGTCACTTGTGTTACAAATAATCTCCTCATAGATACAAAGTTTAAAGTTGAGTACACAACACAGGCGATTCGTCTACAAAAGACTCACCAGTGACGCTCGAATCAAACAAAATTATAAAAAAGGGCAAATAGAGTACAATGTTGAAGACTATAAAGGACCAAAAAATTCCGAAGGTTTTGCCAAACAGCTAAGGTAATCTATTCCTGGATAAAAAATCCTTCGAAAATTTTTAAGAACTTAAATATGCTATCATGGTTTGCTATGATTATTTCATACGTAAACTTCAGGCTTTGACTCTGATTCCCTGTCCTGGTTTGGCTTTACTTTTGAACTTCTTTGGTTTTATCAGCTCTTCAATGATTGTATTGAGTTTTAAATTTTCAAATATTTTGACCTAGAGCATCAATGAAGAGGATTTATAAGTCGAATATGCATCTAGTGTAGTAAAACTGGAACCGTTAATATTTGACTTCAGCTTCAATTGGAACTCTTAAAATCATTGCATGGAGTGTCAGCAGAATAATATCTTAAGGAAATCCTCACGAAAATCATATCAGCAGGAATAATTTGGGACATACACAACATATGTATGTGTTGTGACCATAAAGGTGTGTATAACAAAAAGAAAATTGTTGATTTATGTGTATAGATCAAGTTATGAAACCGGTTTAGCTGTATCTGTCGTAACTCTCGTTTCAAGTTTAATGGGATAGATATCCCGGACAAAATCACCAAATTTCCTTTATAAAGACATATTTAAAGCATAGTGGAGCGCAAAGTTGAGAATGCTAGCTTTTTTACATTCTTCTAAGATATATTTTAAATTCTAATGAAGGAACAAGTCAACGAGTCAGACGAAAATCAATTTAAGTCACAGCAGAACATCTATTGAAAAACATGTACAAAATGTTGGCTTATTGGTTAATGAACAAAGTCATTACTTAACTTAGAGCATTAGGTAGACTTAAATAACACAGACTGTAAGAAGCAGCCAAGATATTGTCTTAAACCAAGGAATCTATGTTGTTTTTGCAGGGAGTCTGTCCGGTATACTGTCTAACTTGATATTCCAAAAAAACAATGAAAACAACACCTTATAAATTTCATGCGTTCGATGCGCTTTTCTTGATTTACCTTCATCAGGAACACTCAAAGCCGAAACTTTGAAAGCCAAGGATGTATAAGAATCGACATAGTTGAAGAGCTGTATGACTGCAAAGAGCCAAGGTCGACTTTGCCTAAGGGAATTGAGACCTTAGTTTCTTTATAATTTTTATAATTATAAATGAATAACTTAGAATACTATTCTATAAGCTCCAGAGAAGTAGGTTATTGTCGATTTACAGTTTGGTTTGTGGAACATGGTGCGTTAAGTAAAGAAGCGAAATCATTGTTATATTTAGTCCTATCTGTGATTGTGTTTGCCAATCAGCTTGTAGCACATCTCTTTGTTCATGTTATGCAATTAGCATATTCATAGACACTCAGAGATGTAAGGTTAAACTTAATAAGATAACCAACCAACTATTTGAGCTAACTATATCATTATATATTCTAACGTTAATATAATATTTCTTATGAACAAGTTTCCATCACATACATTGTATGACAAGCATTTTGATGCCAAGATATAGTCAAGTTAAGGTTCTTCCGACATCAACATTTAACATGTGATAAGATTGAACATTCCTGAGGAAAAAATGTCTAATCAATATCACAATTCAATCAAAGTTTCTTTTTTTAACAAAGTATTATTTGAATAAGGATAATGGAGAAAGATGAACTAATTCTAGCAAAAACGATTAAAACCGAAACATTACCTCTCGATTTAAAATCCAATTACATATCTTTCGCATCTCTTTTACATAACAAAGTTTCTGCCTAGAACAAGGAAACAATATAAGGCCTCAGTATGGAAACACAAAAACATTAATTAGCAGCTTTATTCAACGTGAAAATAATTTTTTGACAACGGTTGACAACAAAACATTAATGAAAACACTATCGTCAACTTCCTTGATGGCTATTGTTGCTTAAAATAAAAATAGGAGTCATATACAAGAAAGCAAAAGTACAGTGTACTAACTTATATTTTATTTATTTCCTGAACCAAATATTACACTAAGAGTTGATAAACAAAAAAATCGTGGGTTTTCTCAGGTGCTCCGGAAGGGTTGGCAGATCCTGCTCCTTATGTGGCGTCGTGTTGCGCATGTTAGTAAAACCAGGTGATAAGTTTAATGTGGTAGGTCATATGCGAAGAAAAGAGGACATGATTGTAATCACGACAATTGGAACACATCCGTCGTTATCTTGTGAAACCGATATTCTATAACGGTCAACCAACCAATCATGACATCCGGTTTTTTTTGAAGCGATGATTTCCACTTTACCATTTGGAATTCTTGGTTATATAGCTTTATTGTAAGCAGAAAACCTCTATCAAGGAAGCCACGATAGAAAATATAAACTCTTGAATTTCATTTCAACTAGGAGATATATACTCCATATGCATTTGGAATTATGCTACATAAGAATGCAAAATGTACAATTTGGAAGCTGAAACAATCCTTTTTGTCGTATTCTTTTGTTCTCAACCAACCCTCATTGTGAATATCTAGATGTCAATCAAGATATGATGCAGACTTAATTTTATCTGTTGTTTCCTTAAACTTATTTCATGTTCGATGGGATAGATGCGTTCAACGAAGTCACCAAACTTTGAAATTTTTGGTGAGAGGACGTCATCTATATTAGCAAAACGTGAAATTAAAGGGTAGTGTCAGCATTCTAATAAAATAAGAATACAAAGCCTCACCAAAACAATTTTATGACAAATTTATAAATAAACTGCGAACGTTGACTACATACCATAGTGATCAATCTAAAAATGTAAATACGAAGCAGGTTATTATTTTATATATTTATTACCATGAAACAAAATGTATTTTGCAAATACAGATACAATTGAACATAAAATGTCTTATTTTTTTCGCTACCGACACTACTATATGAGCCATTTTAACGTTAACGCTAACTATTCTTCTAAACATGCACACTT